TTAGCCCATACAAAATTTAAGACATAAACTGAAGAGAATTTTCAAACAGGAATATAAAAAAGGTTTAATAAGTCAGGACCTGTTTAAAAATCTTTTTCCAAATTGTTCCTAAAAATTGAATTTACAGTTAGGATTAACTAAATCGACTTTTTAGCCAACATTATGGGTAAATGCTCAGTCATAAACATTAAGACCATAACATTAAAATTCTCTCATATACAGTATAATGTAATGCCAATGCTTTTTTAAAAAGTTAAAAAGTGATTTTTGGCACAACAGCCAAATCCCAAAACAGGAGGAAAAAATAAAATCTAATAAGTAGTACTTGTGTAAATTAGGTCCAGAGAATAATTCTAAGATTTATAAATGCTAACTTGTTTTAATAAAATCTAACGTACACAGAAAAAGAAATATTTTATTTGATTTAGTTAATAAGGGTTCAAAAAGATTGAAAAATAGATGTAACTAAAAATTTTTTAAAACTACTCTTAAAATGGAAACCAGAAATTCAAACTGCAGTGGTATTCTAAAGCAATCTGTTGTAATTAATTAAACTAACGAATACAGTAAATTACTAAGAATTATTTAACTACCATGTCATATGATCTAAACAGTGAAGAAAGTGTGTATAGTAATGACTTGCAGGTGAAGAAAACAGGAAGTGGAAAGTGGGGGAAAACTCACAAAAATCAATATTAACTCCAGATTATACACAATGTACAACAACGGCAGTTTCACATCTTGCTTCATGCCTCACTGAATTAAAGGGGAGCTTCATGCCAATAGCAGTTCAATGAGGAAGCAAAACTTAGTACATTTGAGGACTAAAAAGATATGTAAGAATAATTACTATGCAAAGCTGGATAACCTCAAAGTAATATCTAAAAACTCTTTATATGAGATGTTATGTTAAACCTTTTAACATAATATGTTAAAAGTTCATTTTTATCTTATATCAAAGCTCTATATTTGGGATTAATTCAATTAATTCTATAGAGAAGAATTATTTAAAGAGAGTATGTTTCTCTTTGTATAAAATGATGAGGGGAAGAACATTTCAAAACAACTATAACACCAATATTTACTAATACACTCTTTAAAGTTTTTAATATCTTACCATATACATCTATAAAAATGCAAAACATGCTGCATGTGTGCAAATGTGTCATCTCATTTGTTAAATCCACAACTGCCACTTAATTAGTTTCAAGAAAGAACTAAAAAAAGAAAGTTAGTTGTTGGGGAAATATCATTATTCCATTTAATTACCATCCTCATTTTTAGGATCAAATTCATATTCCACTCATAGAAAGTAGATCAGGTTTATGGTAAGTACTTTTTAGCAAAGCCGTATCAATAATGCCCTAACCCATATTTTTCCTTTACTTTTTCACCTATTTCTTCTTCTTTTTTTTTTTTTTTTTTTGAGACAGAGTCTCACTTTGTCACTGTTGGTAGAGTGCCATGGCGTCACAACTCACAACAACCTCAAACTCTTGGACGCAAGTGATTCTCTTGTCTCAGCCTGCTGAGTAGCTGGGACTACAGGCATCCACCACAACACCCAGCTATTTTCACAGATGGGAATCTTGCTCTTGTTCAGGCTGGTCTTGAACTTGTGAGCTCAGGCGATCCAAACACCTCGGCCTCGCAGAGTGGTAGGACTTGACAGGTGTGAGATACCACACCCAGCCTCATCTACTTCTAATTTAATCTTGCTTTCCTCTTTTTATTCCTGGTTAACCAGCTTAAATGCATTTTGGGGAAAATCACACTAGAAAAATACACACATATGTGGGACAGGGTCACTCTCAGAAAAGGCAACCTCTATGATTTACGGTCAACTGTTGGTAACCACTACCATTCAGAGCCACAGACCCCAGACAATGCTGCAGGCTGCTGTCCAGGTTCTGGGAAGTTCTGGATTCTTTAATAATCATGGACTGCAAGTATAGCAACAACAGCAAAGAAATCTCTCACTACATGAATATGAGTACATGCATATGGAATTGTGGCAAGAAGCTAGCATCTCCATTCCCAGAGGATTTGCGGCAAAGTCACCAGAGGAAGCTTATGCAAATGCCAAAAAGTTAGGTTCAAAAGATGTTGTGATAAAGGCACAGGTTTTAGCCGGTGGTAGAGGAAAAGGAATATTTGAAAGCAGTCTGAAAGGGGGAATGAAGATAGTTTTCTCTCCAGAACAAGCAAAAGCTGTTTCCTCACAAATGATTGGGAAAAAATTGTTTACCATGCAAACAGGAGAAAAGGGTGGAATATGCAATCAAGTATTGGTCTGTGAGCAAAAATATCCCAGGAAGAATACAACTTTGCAAATAACAATGGAAAGGTCATTTTGATGTCCCGTGTTAATAGGAAGTTCTCAAGGTGGTGTCAACTTTGAAGAAGTTGCTGTTGAGACCCCCCAAGGCAATAGTTAAAGAACCTGTTGATATTTTAGAAGGCATCAAGAAGGAACAAGCTCTCTGGCTTGCACAGAAGATGGGATTTCTATCTAATACAGTGGATTCCGCTGCAAATAAAACATGGTCAAGTTTTACCTTTTTCTGAAATACAATGCAACCATGGTAAAAAATAAATCCGATGGTAGAAGATTCAGATGGAGTTGTGCTCTGTATGGATGCAAGATCAATTTTGATTCTAATTCAGCCTACCACCAGAAGGAAATCTTTGCTCTACAGGACTGGACCCAGGAAGATAAAAGGGACAAAGATGCAGCTAAGGCAGATCTCAACTACATTGGCCTCAATGGAAATACAGGCTGTCTAATAAATGATGCTGGTTTGGCTATTGCCACAATGGATCTAATATGGATGGTGGGACTCTAGTCAACTTTCTTGATGGTGATGGTGGTGCTACAGTCCATCAAGTAACAGAAGCATATAAGCTTATCACTTCAGAGAAAAAGGTACTGTCTATTCTGGTCAACATTTTTGGAGGAATCATTAGATGTGATGTTATTGCACAGGGTATAGTCATGGCAGTACAGGATTTGGAAATTAAAATACCTGTTGTGGTATGGTTACAGGTGATACTGTATATCAGGTGATATATGAGTTGGTGATACTAAAGCTCTCATAACAGCCAGTGGTCTTAAAATTCTTGCTTGTGATGACTTGGATGAAGCTGCTTGAATGTTTGTAAAGCTCTCTGAAACAGTGAACTTAGCCAAACAAGCCCAGGTAGATGTGAAATTTCAGTTGCCAATATGATCCGAAAACCCAGTGGATGGCTGAGAGTGTTAAATGTGCTATAACTGTTAAAAATACTGTGTTCTATGTTATTGTTCTCTTTCTTTTTAGTGTGGGGCAATATAATTGCCATCTAAGCACACAAACTTTTAAAAAGCATTTGGTCTGCATTTAATTATTCTATTCAGAATGGACTGTTTGTATAAAGAATGCATAATGTAGGTATCAAGTTTATTTTGTTGCAGCCAGTCTTTTCATTTCTCCTGCAGAATGTCACTTGCAATATGCCTGTTTGTTATTGTTGGATAAATCAAATAAATATGAAGATAAAGCTTAAAAAAAAAAAAAAGAAAAACACACATATACACCCAGAGGATCTAAGTGTGTTAACCCCAAAGATGTCACAGGAAAATAAATTATGAGGAAAAGAAAGAAAAGGGAAGGAAAGGGAAGGGAAGGGAAAGGGATGGGAGGAAGGGAAGGAAAGGGAAGGAAACGGAAGGGAGAAAGACTTTGCTGGAAAGGAAGATTTTCTATCTCATGATGTCATCAACATCATATAGCGTTATAAGCATCAAATAATATGGGAATGAATCCATGATAATAAAACTCGGTTAATACTACTGCTATGATCTAGTAACACTGACTCCTTAGGGAGCTAAGAAAATAATAATTTGCAAAACTATTGCCATTTCTTTCAAATATATTATTTTTGAATGTAAAAATATCAAATATACTTATGTCACAGAGTAGCCAGAGTCACTATAAACTCGGCATGAAGCCAAAATACTTGAAAATAAGCACATTGTTAGAAAAGCAGTATTAATCAGGAGAAAAAAATACACCAAAAAAATGTCTTTTACTCAACTTAAAAACTTGGCTTATCTCAGTTATAATGCTAATTGAAAATAAAATGGATATTAACAAATATTTTTTATCTCAGTTATAATGGTACCTGAAAATAAAATGGATATTAACAAATATTTTTTAAAAATAAAAACAGAATACAAGTAAAATATACCAGAACTACATTTTAACATTGTTCTTTGAGGTCCATGAATAGTGCCATGTCCAGAAACAATACCATGTCTTAGGGAAAATCACTTCAAAGCCCTCACAGCAGTTGGCAAGATATAAACAAGCATAAAGGTAAGACAAATTACAATTAAAGTATTCATTTTCATAATTCTATCACTAACTCACTTTGAGATACAGATTGAGTAAAAATGAATGTATATTGCCCCAAATTCTGGAAAAAAAATTTTTTTCCAAGTATTTACTATATGGATTAAAGATGACTACAATCCTCTCCTCAAGAAGTGGGATCGATATCTATTCTCCTTGAAACTGACTGGGCTCTTTTATTAATAAATCTGGTAAAATTGATGCTATGACATTTTCTCAGCCCAAGTCTTAAAACATTAATAGCTTCTGTTTCCTTACTCTTGGAATGTGCTCTCTTGTAGCCCTAACCCACCATGTAAGAAGTCCAATGGCACCATGACAGAAACCATATGGAAAGGCACCCTGACAATACACTGGAGAAGAGAAGCCAAAACATCAGCTTACATTCCTAGTCCACTGAATTGGGAGCATTAAAAAAATGTTGTTTGGGGGCAGTAACTTCTTATTTAGCAAAAAGTATAGTGGTGTCAACAGCTAACTACTAAAACTGAACCAGAGCACAAACACTGTGGAAAGGCCATTTAAATGCCATTATCCAGCATAGTAAGTAGGAAAGGTAAACCCTGAAGAATAATTTTTTTAATCACAATTAGCATTAATACATACCAGTTCATCCAAAAAAGCCTGCTTATTCTTCCTTTTTAGAATCTGCTGAAGTTGTTCTTCTTTTTGTATAAATAGTCTTCTCTGTTCATTTTCCTGTCGTTCTACTTCTAAAGCTTCTTCTAATTCCTCCTGTTCCCGAGTCTAAAACAGAAATTTATATACAACAAGGAATAAATTGAGTAACCAAGAGCTATACTACACAAAGCTCTGATAATTTCTTTATTGAAAACCTAACACCTGCTAGTCACTTATTAATAATGCAGCAATTCTATTTTGAAGGAACTAGATTTCATTTTATTTCATCTAGACATGTTACTATTAAAGAAAACAACTATTCCACTCCACTATACCATAGTAATAGAATTTGTGCTGTATTAAGGCAATTGGGAACACATTAATGGAATTTGAAGGATGGGTTTAGAAAGATGACTAAAAGCAAGAAAGTGAAGAGATCAATTGGGTTCAAGACTAACAATAAGAAAGCTAGTTAGAATATTCAATAATCCAGATAAGAAATGATAATGGCCCTAAGTAAAGTAATAATTAAAACAGAGGAAAAACCAGGTTTGAAAAATGATAAAGAATGACCATCAACAGAATACAAAGGTTGGCCCAACATGACTTGAACACACGGATAAATACTGGCACATTTCTCAAGATAAAGAACATCATAAGAAATAGAATAGACTTTAAGTCAAAAACTCATAAGAGACAAAGATGAACATTTTATAATAATAAAAGGACCAACATATAGAAAGATATAACAATTATGACCATATATACACCCAATATCAGAAGACCTATATATATGAAGCAAACATTGACTAGTGAAGAGGTAGACAGCAATACAAAAATAGTAGGAGGCTTCAATAACCCACATTCAATAATGGATAAAACATCCAAATAGCAAATCAGTAAAGAAACAGAGATCTTGAACAATACTATAGACCAAATGAACCTAAAAGACATATACAGAACGTTCTACCTACCAGCAGCAGAATACATTCTTCTCAAGCACATACACAAAACTTTCTCCAGGACAGATCAACAATCAAGTCACAAAACAAATCTTCATAAATTTAAGATGGTAAGAATCACACCATGTATCTTTCTTGACCACATGGAATGAAACCAGAAAACAACAACATAAGGAAAATTAGAAAATTTGCAAATGTGTGAAAAATTAAATAGCATGCTCTTTAACAACCATCAGGCCAAAGAAGAAATCAAACAGGAAATAAGAAAATACCTCAAGACAAACAAAAACAAAAATATAGCACAGCAAAACTCATGGGATGCAGAAAAAACAGGATAAGCACCCGCATCAAAAGAGAATAAAGATCTCAAATAAACAACCTAACTTCACACCAAGAAGCTAGGAAAATAACAACAAACTATACCCAAAGACAGTAGAATGAAGTAAATAACAAAGATCAGGACAAAAATGAATGAAATAGAAAATACAAAACAATAGGAAAAACTCAACCAAACTAAACACTGGTTTTCTTGAAAAGATAAAGTAAAATAACAAACATTTGCAAGACTATGAAAAAGAGAAAAGACTCAAATAAATAAATAAAAGTGTTAGAAATAACACTATAACCAATGCCATAAAAATAAAAAAGATCATAAGAGACTAGTGTGAACATTTGCACACCAACAAACTGGTAAATCTAGAAGAAACAGATAAATTCCTAGAAACGTAAAGACTTACCAACACTGAATCAAGAAAAAATAGAAAATCTAAAAAGACCTGTAACTAGAGTTATCACACCTTCTAACAGAGAAAAGGTTAGGACCAAATGGCTTCACTGATGAATTCTGCTAAGCAGTTAAAGAAGAATTAAATTTTACAAACTCTTCCAAACAAGAGAAGAGAAGGGCATTTCCAAATTTACCTTGTAAGACCAGAATTAATGGCCTAATACTAAAATCAGACAAAGATACCACAAGAAAAGAAACTGCAGGCAGACATCCCTGATGAACACAAATGCAAAAATCCTCAACAAAATATAGCAAACTAAATCCAACAGAACATTAAAAAGATCACACACCATGACCAAGTAGGAATTATCTGTGGGATGCAAGGATGATTCAATATATGAAATTAGTTAATGTAATATGTCATATTAACAGAATAAAGAATAAAAATCATATACTCTGGCTCAGTGCCTGTGGCTCAAGTGGCTAAGGCGCCAGCCACATACACCTAAGGTGGCAGGTTCGAATCCAGCCCGGACTCACCAAACAACAATGATGGCTGCAACCAAAAAATAGCCTGGCATGGTGGCAGGCGCCTGTGGTCCCAGCTACTTGGGAGGCTGAGGCAGGAGACTCACTTGAGCCCAGGAGTTGGAAGTTGCTGTGAGCTGTGATGCCACAGCACTCTACCCAGGGGGACAGCTTCAGGCTCTGTCTCAAAAAAAACATATACTCTTAGTACATGCATAAAAAGAGTTTGATAAAATTTAACACCATTTCATGTTTAAAAACTCTCAACAAACCAGTAATAGAAGGAAAGAACCTCAACAT